CCCAATGACTCCTGCAGCCCTCACCCCCCTACCAGGCACAGGACCTGAAACCTCAGTGATGCTCTGGCTCCGGCTTCTTCTGTTTCCTGGATCCGGCTTCCTGCCTGCAGTCTCCAGCCAGGCCCCACCCCCGTGCTGCACTCGCCAGCCCAGCCCCTGTCCTCGGACAGCGGGTCCTGGCTCAGCTCGGCCATCGCCCACACCTGATCCTGTACAGCAACAGCTGCCTGCTCTGGGTGCCCCAGCTAGTGACTCCAGTCTGGATCCCTGCCCCTGCTTCCTGACACCCCCCAGGTCCTGGTTTTCCCCAGGGTGACTGCCTACATCCAAGCCCCTTCAGACCCACCTGCTCCTGCCCCAGACTCTCAGGCCCCTGCTCTCTGCTCCTGGCTGCTCCCAGCTACCTAGACGGTGACTGTGATGCTACGATTTGGTGACTCTCTAGGGACCCTCTGACATGTGGCCAGTGTCCCAGTGCCACAGGGGAAGGCGAAAGCCCACAACCTCACTGGTCACCTCCCTCCCTGCAGCCACAAGTACTGCCAAGGGGAAAACTCCTTCCCAGCCCCAACTCCTTCCCCAGCCCTGAGCATCATTCCCAGATGCCCCCCTCCCCCCCACCACCACGTGAGCTCCCTTGTTGCCCCACCTGGGGCCTGAGTGCACCTCCTCCAGGCTGAACTGGGGGGGTCACGGGGGTAAGGGAGGGCTCTCAGTGCCTGGCAGGGGGGCAGAGGACTGGGCCGGGGGTGGGGCTCTGGGGGAGGGAGGTGCTGGGGGGCTGCATGAGGGAAGGGGGTTGCCCATGCTGCACCTTGCCCCGGTTGAGCTGAGACCAGCTCAGCTGCACATCCAGGCGGGCACCATTGCAATGCATTCTGCCTATGTGCCCTACAGTTCCCAAGCAAAGCATGCTGGGAAGCTCCCTGCTGCTTTTAGGGAACCCAGGGGGAAGAGGGGGTCCAGAGATGATGCTGGTGGGAGGGGCTGATCTCCCAGGCATGGTACCCCTGGGCTCTGAGACCTGGTTTAGCCACATAATGCCCCTCTGGGAGGATGCATGCCCTCCTCCAGGGACCCAGCTGGAGGCCCCCAGGCTCAGGCAGGCTTGGGGGGAACATCCTTGCACTGAGACTCACATGGGAACATCTCATGGGTGCAGCTGCCAGGGCAGGAGGGAGGAGGCTCTGGCCTTGCGGGGGCCCCAGGCAACAGGCTTTGGCACCGGCGGGAGATCTCTTCTGGGGTGCAAGGAACAGAGCTGGGTTCTGCCGGCCGGGTCCAGTCTGAGCTTGCAGTGAGGGTTTCCCACCCCTTGTGCAGAGTGGCACGGCACGGCATGCCCCCCGCACCAGGTGCTCTCGCAGCTCGGTGGGTCCAGGGCCCTCTGTCCCCCAGCACTGGAGAACCAGCATCACCCGCTGCACCTGATGGACTCGTTTGGCACGTGTGACCTCAGCTGACCCCTGGGGTTTTTCCTCCCTTGAAACTTGCTCTGGTCTCTGCAGCTGCCTACCTGGAACAGGGCTATGGGGCACGGTGAGGCATTTCCTGATTCCTCGTTTTCCAATAAACATCACGTTGCCAGGCCCCAACAGGCACTTCCCGCCCAGCGCCAAACCCCAGCACCCTCCATGCAGCCAGCAACGCGCATTTTGTTCACTGTCTTCAGCTCCTCAACTATCGCCCCGTTGTGGGGCCGGGAAGAGCAGCACGATGAGCCCAGAACAGGATGGGACCTCCGGGCAGGACTCCTGGGTTCTTTTCCTGGTTCCACCACCCACCTGCTATGTGACCTGGAGTCAGTGTGCCAGGTTGCACCTCGGTTTCCCCACCCATAATAACCCCCACTGGCGTGGACCCAGGAGCAAGTGGCTGGGAAATGCTTTGAAGGAATTTTCTTGCCTCCTGTTGCTACACGTGAAGGTTTTTTCACCTTCTTTGCAGCGTTGGGTGTTGGCTGCAGCCAAGGCTGGGCATGGGGACTGGGCTGTGCCAGTGCTCCTGCTGGGACTTGAACCAGGAGGGTCCTGGCTGGAGGGTCTTGCCCCTGCGTTCAGGGTCAGACCTATGCCATGTCGGACTTTAACCCCCTGCTCAGATTGGTACAGACGGGGTAGGGGGTTTGCCTTCCTCTGTAGCCGAAGGTGTTGGCTCTACCTGGGATCTCTGGAGAGTATTTTAACACCTTTTGCAGCAGCAAGACACTCATCCCCCCACTTTCCCTGGGGCAGATCAGGATGCTCCAGGTGTCTTTGGACAATGGGCCTTGAAGCTGTGATGGGGCTATCCTTTTTGGAACGGGCTAGACAAGGACATGTCTAGGATGGTTTGGATGGGGACCATCCTACCTCAGGGGTTGGACTAGATGTGACCTCTGGAGGTCCTTGCCAGCCTGATTTGTCTAGTAGCCCATGAGCTGCGGATGTCAGAAGCCCAGTGCTTGGGGGAATCAGACACCGGCTTCCCGGATGGAGCCGAGGGAGCCAACCTGCTCTGTGGCTAGGGAGAGGCAGCAGGTCAGCCCGTATGGACAAGGGATTGGGACTTCTGCTCGGGGTGGTAGGAACAACGCCTCTTCCAGGCAGCTCCAGCCACTGGGTGCCCAGCTGCCCCATGGGCACAGCGGCTCCTAGCTCTGTGGCTGTCACCTGGGCAGGCTCCTGGCACAAGAGCTGGGGCCGTGGGTCACTGAGGCAGTACCAACCTCTGCCCTATGCATTGCCCCCAGGGGCAGCAGCAAAATAGGGGCTAGTGGTACCCCCTGGCAATGGATCCTGGGCATGTGGCTGAGGTCCCGGGGTCTCAGGCTGCACGCGTATGCCACCAGCTCTGCCCCAGCCGCCTGACAGTGCCTGAGTCTAGCACACTTGTGGGAGTGGGGTAGCTAGGAGGGATGCATCAGGGCTGGCAAAAACAACAAAGCAGAGGGAAGAAGTTAATTTGGGTCTTTCCTGGGCTGTCACAGTCCCTGTCCCCCAGCACAGAAGCTCCAGCTGCCCACGTCAGACTGGGGCACGCACCAGCCCGTCCTGGGGCACTGCTGGTGCCGGTCCGTGCTCGTGGCTCCCAGAAGCAGGGGGAGTTTCCGAGTGAGCCTCCCCACCGCAGGCAGCTCGTGACAAGCCCGAGGTGGCGCAGTCAGTGGGGGCCGGAGGCTCGTAGCTCCCAGGTAAGCACGGGTCAGGTCCAGGCTGAAAACAGGAGCAGCACAGACACTAACCCCCCGGGGTTTACACGCCGTGCGCAGGACGGCCCTGCCTCGGGCCGCGGGTCGGCGTCTGGCTGCGCTGAGTCCGCCGGGAGCTCCCCGCACAGGCGGAGGGACGAGCTGGGCAGGCAGCAGCGAGCTGGCCCCAGCAATGGAAATTGTCACTTGTCCCCGCTGCAGCAGCCTGCACCTCCGGGGGCAGCCACGCAGGCCCCGTGGCTCTGCCCCCACAGCCCAGGGGGCCATGCTGAGTGCCCACCGGCCATCCCCCCTTCCCCGGGAGCCCTGGCGGGTAACGTGACCCTATCTGCAGCGAGAGATTGATTTCCACCTCATTAACTTTCCTCTAAAACTTTCCCTCTCCATCCTCCCTCCCCCGCCCGCCTTCCCTTGCCAGCTCTCTTTCGCTCCCCTTTTCTTTCACACTCCACCAGCCTTCTCCCATAGGAGCAGCGGGGACGTCAATCAACTCCCTCAGCCGCCCCCTCCTTTTAAAAAATAATCCTTTCATTCAATGGAACTTGGACAAAGTTTTCTAAGAGGGGAGCGGAAAAAAAAAGAAAGAAGGAGCCATAAAACCCAGGCGAGATCAGGGCCTTTCAGAGCCTCTTATCTGATTGCGGGAGCAGCACTTAAGGGCCCGCACCCGCTCCCCGCCCGCCCGCCCCCAGCCTTGGCGCTTCAGGGCACCGGCTTCGCCCGCGCACCTGGGAGCGTGAGAGCGTGTCTCGGCACCGCCAGCGCCGGGGAGCCGCCGTGTCCTCCGGGGACAGCCCTGCCAGCCTGGGCCCGGTCTGCCACGCCACCCCTGCCCACCACTCAAGGTAGGGAGCGGGGCCAGGGCAAGGGCAGAGCTGCGGGCGGCTGGGTGTGCGCCCTGGGTGGGTGTCTGGGGGTCCTCAACTTGCTACGGCAGAGAAACCTGCTCCCCTGGAGCCACCGGGGTCCGACACCAGGGTGATGGGCCTGGGTCTTTCTCCCTGGGTCTCTCGCTCACGTTGACTTGATGCTGCTGCATCTCTGGGGGCGTTGGTGGGGTCAGTCCTGGCCTGTCGTGGGCTCAGGGGGAGCAGGACCGGGTGCCAGCGAGGCAGAGGGCTGAGTGATGGAGTGACGCTGGGGAAGTGATGGAGCGCGACTTGCTGGCGAAGTGCAGGCGGAGAGGGGAAATCTCATGGTAACGGCGTGTGCCTGGGGCCAGCTCCCACACCTGCACCAGCCCCCCGGGTGCTGTCTGTGTGCGCGGTGGGTGCTGCCATGGAAGACATGTATCCTGCAAGAGCCGCGGGCAGTGGCCTCTACCAGCCTACACGGCTGCAGTGCCCCCACCTCTGTCCCGTGGCACCCCCGTGTCCCTGCTCCTGGCACTTGCGGGCAGAGGAGCTGGGGCGGCACAAGCTGCCCAGGGATCGGGCTCTATGGCTGGCATCCCATCCCTGTCAGACCCGCCGTGCAGCTGGAAGCCTGCTCTGCCCTGGAGCCCTTGTGCCCACACCCCTGCCCACCTCCCCCAGCCCATGTATTGCTCTCTGTGCACCTGGCAGTCACCATGCCACTGCCCAGGGCAGTTAGGAACGGGCTGCCCCTGCTGCCTTGGTCTGTCTCGTCCCCGTTGTCCAACTCCAGGTGATTCAGTGGGACGTTGGACAGAGGCTCCTGCTGTCACTGGCTCCCCCAGACCGTTAATGATGGTGCTGCTAATTGACCTCCTGATTCAGCCGATAAGGGGCAGGTGTCACAGGTGTATTGGAGGTCTGGGCTGGCTGGCAGCAGGGACAGCACCCGTCTCTGCCCTGCCGGCTGCCGTCTGC